TTCTAACATTCTAAGCTCTATATAGTTTGTTGTTTTGAAACAAAATACATGGGCGATGTTATATTCTTAACATATGATAGTATCTTTCTAAATTTTATTAAGGGGATGTGATATTCTAACATTCTAAGAACTATCTAGTATGTTTTTTTTAACAAAGTACATGGGTGATGTGATATTCTAAACATCTAATACCGGTAGCATGTCATATATTTCTTAATTTCTTTAAGGCAATATGATATTTTAAGGTTCTAAGCATCAAATACAAATAACTTTTATAACATTAATGAACAATATTCATGGGGGATGTGATATTCATAATATTTGTTTCTTATAGTGTGTTATATATTTCCTAATTATAATAAGGAAATGTCAAATTCTAAGTTTTTAAACTAAAAGTGCAACTAATTAGTATGATATTTATAAATAAAATACATGGGGGATGTGATATTGTAAACATACAGTGATAGTGATATATTTCTTAATTAATTTGCTGGATGTGATATTTTAATGTTTATACCAGAAAATACAACTATTTTTATTATGACATATAGAAATTGGCCTACTTTAAGTGCTGCAGGTATTCATATTTAATGAACCAATACTTCATTTTAACCAATAATTTTTTTGCTTTTTAACAAGATTAAAAGCTACTCATAGTAACTTAGTAGTACTATGTTGCACAGTTGCTTTGAATGTTGCTTAGGTTAATAGTTTGAGTTACTCAAAAAAAAAAAATATCTAACTTTTTTGGCGCATTTAATTAGGCAGATTAAGATTACAAGCTAAAAGTCGATTTACGAATATGATTTTAAAAAAGCCTAATGAAACTGTCGAGTAAGCATTTACAATAATAAAAAAAAAGATAAAACAAAAAGTTTTTGCATGCTGATTTTATTCTCATTAATTCCTTTTATATCAGCGTCTAAAAAGTTATCCTGAGCAATAAGTTTATAAAACCAAAATGAGAGAAGAACAGTCTTTATATATATGAAGCTCAATTTCACTTAATATTTCAAAAAGTATACTTTTGATGTTACAAAAAGTATTATATACTCTTCTTCCTTGATTAATACTTCCTAATTCATTACAAGCGATGCAAGCAAAATAATAAAAAAAAAACAAGTTAGATAATTTAGAAAAGTTTTAGCCTGTTCTTTTTTTTTTAATATTATAAAATACAACATTTTTTCTTTCAAATTTTTTGTACTAAATCTAAATAAAAGATATACTTCAATAAAATACAGAATATATAATCAATTTTTTAAATAATTAGATTGTGATAAGTACAGTCCGAAGAAAAAATAATAAACAAATAGTTTATATAATTTTTAGAGCATGCAGGAACAGATACAGTAAAACTTTGAACAGATACAATGCGACTTTGCTGAATGATGATTCAATTTAGAATGAGTTTTGGTTAATGGAACTAGAGATGATAGCGCCTTTGAGCAGCAACCATTTGTAGAAAATAGAAGGAGATGCAACTTTACCACAATTGGAGTTAGGTTGAAGTAAGCAACTGAGTTTTGTTGAAGTTAAAATTCAAAAAGCACTACAAGCCCCAAGCTGTTACAAAAGTGAGATAAGTTTTTTTATTTAGACAGGGGTATAAAGTTTATTTAGCAACAACTAGAGCCACTTTAGATGTAAGATTGTCATGAAGATCATTAATGTAGATAAAAAATGACACTGGACCAAGTATAACCATTTTAGGTACTCCAGAAGGTACTGGAAACAAAGAAGAGTATTAGCCTTCGAGGATGACATTAATAAAACAATTAGAAAGAAATGATTTGATAACCTCAAAAACCCTCTCAGATACGTCACATTAAGCAAGCTTATGGAGAAGACCAGCATGCCATTACAGTTAACAAGTCGGCCTTAAAACAAGAAGTTCAAAAACCATAATGATTGTCAGGGAGTAAAATATTAGACTCAAGTTGGAATGTTAGAAATTTGTTGATCAATTATCAAAGACTTTGCTAATAATAGAGAGAAGACTGACTGGATAGCAGTTGGAGGGGACAGGTGTCAAAATTTAGATTCAGTCAAGCACTTATTAAACAGTTTAGTAAAAATTAAAGAAACTTATGGAGAACACTTTTGTTTTTGAACAGAAAGTCAAAGTGGAGAATAATAAGTTCTACCTTGACCAGAAATTAAAGAAACTTGCATAATAGTAAAGAAACATGTATATTACAGAAGCAATCATTCTGGAAATCAGTAGAGAACAAACGTATTTATACGTTTTTCTCTACTGATTTCCATTAAACGTAAGAATAAACATATTTGGTTTAGGAGGATGGATTAGATAATGATAAACATAAGTGTTGAAAAAATAAGTGCTGGTTGTACTGCTTTGGTTTCTGCTTGATAGAGTATGGGTATTCGCCTACAAACTTCATTAGTAGCTGCAATCTACAATTGAAGATTGGGATACTTAAAGACAACATCAGGCAAAAAATTATAAATATTCTTAAAGGTAAGATATTCTGTATTTATTTTAATGGAAAATATATACAAAATACGAGTGAAACAGATTGAAGAAGACTTTAACTAACTGTTTTTTTTTTAAAGTGATAGCAGTCAGTGTAACATCACATGATATAGATGACATTGATGACAAACAGCTGGGTATTGTTCAGTCAGAAAGACTTCAAAAGTAGTGACCATCCAAGTCTGATAACATGCAACAAAACATAATGCTAGTGGCCAGGGACAACAAGAAGAAACCTAAAAAAAGAATATTATTCTAATAAATCTCTCAGAGTAGCATCTTAGAATACTATCCTAATAAATCTCCTGTCATAATAAAATTAAGAAATATAACGCATATTATAGTATTATGTTTAGACACACATCCCCTATGTATATTGTTTATAAATGTCATATTAAGTCAAATTTGCTGCTTAGAATATTACACTCCCTCAGTGTAACTAATAATTATATCACAAACTATCAGTATGTTTAGAATGTCATACCCCCTATGTACTACCAGTATTATATATGTTATATATATACAAAATATCACAATTCCAATGTATATTGTTTAAAAATTTCATAGTTAGTCTTATTTGCTGCTTTGAATCTTAGATGTAAATAAGAAATCTATTGTCAACTAACAGTTTTATATTACTTAAAATATCACACCCCTCATGTATATTGTTTATATGTCATAAAAAATAGTTGTATTTTCTGGTATAAACCTTAAAATATCACATCCAGCAAATTAATTAAGAAATATATCACTATCACTGTATGTTTACAATATCACATCCCCCATGTATTTTATTTATAAATATCATACTAATTAGTTGCACTTTTAGTTTAAAAACTTAGAATTTGACATTTCCTTATTATAATTAGGAAAAATATAACACACTATAAGAAACAAATATTTTGAATATCACATCCCCCATGAATATTGTTCATTAATGTTATAAAAGTTATTTGTATTTGATGCTTAGAACCTTAAAATATCATATTGCCTTAAAGAAATTAAGAAATATATGACATGCTACCGGTATTAGATGTTTAGAATATCACATCACCCATGTACTTTGTTAAAAAAAACATACTAGATAGTTCTTAGAATGTTAGAATATCACATCCCCTTAATAAAATTTAGAAAGATACTATCATATGTTAAGAATATAACATCGCCCATGTATTTTGTTTCAAAACAACAAACTATATAGAGCTTAGAATGTTAGAATATCACATCGCTTTAATAAAAATTAGAAATATACTATTATTTGTTTAGAATATCAAATCACCCATGTACTTAGTTAAAAAACAACTATCTATATAGTGTTTAGAATGTTAGAAAATCACATCCCCTTAATAAAATTAAAAAATATACTATTATATATTAAGAATATCACATTGCCCATGTATTTTGTTAGAAAAAAAACATACTAGATAGTGCTTAGAATGTTAAAATATCACATCCCCTCAATAAAATTAAGAAAGTTATGGCATGCTTCTATTATATGTTTAGAATATCACATCGCCCATGTACTTTGGTAAAAAACAACATACTTGACAGTACTTAGAATGTTAGAATACCACATCACCTTAATAAAATTTACAAATACACTATTACATGTTTAGAATATTACATCACCCACGTATTTTGTTAAAAAACAACATACTAGATAGTGCTTAGAATGTTAGAATATCACATCACCTTAATAAAATTAAAAAATACACTATTACATGTTTAGAATATTACATCACTCATGTATTTTGTTAATAAAAAACATACTAGATAGTGCTTAGAATGTTAGAATATCACATCACCTTAATAAAATTAAAAAATACACTATTGCATGTTTAGAATATTATATCACCCATGTATTTTGTTTCAAAATAACAAATTAGATTGTGCTTAGAATGTTAGAATATCACATCACCTTAATAAAATTTAGAAACACATTATTACATGTTTAGAATATCACATCACCCATGTTTTTGTTAAAAAAACAACATACTTGATAGTGCTTAAAATGTTAGAATATCACATCACCTTTATAAAATTGAGAAATACACTTAGAGATGTTTAGAATATTACATCACCCGTATATTTTGTTAAAAAACAATATCGTAGATAGTGCTTAAAATGTTAGAATATCACAACACCTTCACAAAACTTAGAAATTATTATATGTTTAGAATATTACATCACCCATATATTTTGTTAAAAAACAATATCGTAGATAGTGCTTAGAATGTTAGAATATTAAATCACCTTTATAAAATTTAGAAACACACTATTACATGTTTAGAATATCACATCACCCATGTATTTTGTTAAAAAACCTACATACTAGATATTGTTTGTTAAAAAACAACATTTTTTCAACATTCTTGTATAATTGGGACGTACTCGGTACTCTACTAAGTTCTATTACTTCAAAACGCATCCTCGTTTTCATTATTTCCACTGGTGCGGTGATATTCTAAGGTGCGGTAATATTTTATTACAATCCACCGCAATACACGGTTTTCAAAATTCCCAAAAGTTGTAAAACCCGCTCATGTTAACAAACACACAAAAATTTCGAGTAAACAAACTTAAAAAACGGTACGTTTTATAAGAGAATCAAGCTGTTTTTTTGAATAGATTTTTTATTTTGATATGTTTTTGCAAACTGAAATGATTGTTTTGATATAAAAACTGCTTAATACACTAACTATTTCGATTTATCATTTTTGATTTAGTTTTAATAAGTAGTTATTGGTAAAATGGCATATCATTGCGTTGTGAAAAATTGTTCAAATGGACGCTATAGACTTATGAAATGGAAATATGAAATATGCACTGAACATAAATGTAGAAAAATAGATATTGGATGTAATTGTGCATCGCCTTTTTATTTATTTCCTTTTCCAATTATCAAAAATCTCCCTCCCAATGTAAAATTTGGATCAAACTAATTAACCGCTTAAACACTACTGGGACAAATGATTTTTTCTGCCCAAAGAAAGATGCACGAGTTTGTTCTAATCATTTTAAAGATAAAGAGCCTAATATAAAAAATCTTTATCCCACTGAGAACCTTGGATATGATTCTAGGCATAAAGTTGCTCTTTTGTGCCCTAGCTCTCGACCTCTAAATAGAAACAGTATAATAAATACTAACTTAACTCAGCCTTTACTTAAAAAATACAAATTAATTGTAAAGTCTAATACATACTTTAATATAACAGTTGATTAAAATCAAGACACAATTTCTGTTAAACAGTTATGTCCTAGTTCCCTGTTAGTGTCTACTTCGATACAAAAAACCCTGTTGACTTTATGATTGAACCAGTACCAGTGGTAGTAGTAGATAAAAAAAAAATAATATTAATTCACTTTTTAATCATAATGAGTTCACTCAAGTTCAAGAATCAACTTTTTTAATAAGTACCTTAAAAAAAACTATTGACAAATTACAAAAAATAAATCACTATCTTCTTTTTCAAAACAAAAAATTACAAATTATAATTAAAAGCAAAGTAAAAAATAATCTTCCAAAAAAGTCTACAAAAAACTATTAACAAATGACAAGAAGTGTAACTTTTACACAAACATTCCTTCCCTGAAAGTTTTTCACATTCTTCACGACCTTATAAAAATTGTACATTGTCGATTTAATTACAAAACTGAAATGAAATGTTCTCCTAAAAAAAAACCTAATAAAATGATACCAAAAAAACTTGGAAGATGGAGAAAATTATGTTCACAAGATGAGTTTTTACTTTTTCTTATGAAATTACGTCTCGGACTTTTAAGCAATAAACTAGTTGATAGATTTAGTGTTTCTCTTGGCACTGTTTCCAAAATATTTAAATTGTGGATTAGAGGCATGTCACAGTATTTAAAATCATTTGTTTACTTTCCAGACGAAGAAAATGTTCGCTTGAACCATCCTGATGGTTTTAAAAATAATCAAAGTCTGTTAAGAATATTTTATTGCTCTGAAATTTTTGTTGAAACACCAAAAAATTTAGAACTGCAATCTGCAATATGGTCTGAGTACAAGCACCACAATATAATGAAGTTCCTTGTATCAGTTACATCTAGCTCTTTCATAAATTTTGTTTCGGAAGCATATACTGGAAGAATATCAGATAAAGCAATAACATTGGATTGTGACTATCTTACAAAATTCCCTCCTTATTCTTCAATCATGGCTTATAAAGGTTTTAATATTGCTATTGAGTGTGCTGTTTATAGGGTTACCTTTATTTCCCCATCTGGAAAACGAGGAACTTCTCAAATGACACCTGAAGAAGTAGTAAAAAGGAGTAATATTGCTAAACTCAGAATTCTTATTGAACAGATAATTAGGAGAAAGAAAAACTTTTTGAATAATTTGACAAGGATTTCCTATATCACTTCTTGATAATCTTAATGACATTATCGTGATTTGTGCAGGTCTTTCCAATTTTAATCATGAAATAGTACTTTATCGATGCTCCAAAACAAAAAATTGTTAGTCCAAGTATATATATATATATATATATATATATATATATATATATATATATATATATATATATATATATATATATATATATATATACACAGCGTGTAAAATAAGAAATCGAAGGCGAGCGGTCAATTTGACCAGCTTACCCTTGGAATTGACGATCAACAGTTTTTTTCGGTCAGTCAACATTTTTTATTATTTTCTTTGTTTTCATTTTAATCTTCGTAATAGTTCTTAATAACTGAACTTTATAAATACAAAAAAAACTTAATATTTGATAGTTAACAAATTAGTATTCCTTTTTTAAACTTGCAAATAACTAACATTAAAATTGCATTCCAAATAGTTTAAAGTTAAGCGCGCAGATTCTTATTTTATTTCTTAAAGGAAGTTTGATAAATTGATAAACTTTTTAGTACATGATAATTTAGTACATGCTTTTTCCAAATAATAATCTGATTATTTTTAAAATCATGTTTTTCAAAACTCTAATTATTTTTGAACCAGTCAACCATGACCGCCAAGAAATCATTTTGGGAGGTCAAAATAGCAATTTTACTCATTTTAGGCGGTCATTGACCATTGACCGGCCGTTATTTTACACACTGTATATATATATATATATATATATATATATATATATATATATATATATATATATATATATATATATATAAAAATTATGTTGTATAAACTATATATAATGTATATTTTATATATATATATATATATATATATATATATATATATATATATATATATATATATATATATATATATATATATATATATATATATATATATATATATATATATATAATATGCATTATATATAATTTATATAACATATAATTTTTATATAATATATATATATATATCTTTATTCAATAAAGAAACAATCCAGATGTTGATTTTTTACGTACTGATAAAAAAGACTTTAATGCTATTACACTAAATAGTTTAAATTCATCAATAAATTGTTTTTGGAGTACTAAATCGTCATTGTTACTCATTTTAATTGGATGTTTTGCCTGTGTTTCACTGAGATTATCTGTTTGTTTACTCGAAATTTTTTGTTTTGTACATTCTAGTATGTATATTTTGCATAACAAAAGTTGATTTTCGAAAACCGTGTATTGGGTCAGTGCTGGCCCGAAATCAAATGCCGTCGTAGTGGCTTACAACCACTGATCTCTATAATTACTGGATAGCGAATCTCTATTATCAAAAGTGAAGCCAATTTTTTGTACGGCCCCCATATTGGAAAGCCCCAGAATACCGATTGCGCTTGAAGATGTACCTTTTTACTTCGTTTATATCTACTTGACCAAGTCACATATTTCAATGATATTATTATATTTAAAATGTTTGAAGGTGTAAAAATTATAAAAGGGAAAAAACACGCATAACATTAACGACGAAGAGAAATATCGCTATAAAGAAATAATAATATTTGCTTTCTATAAACTTGTTAAATTTATTGAATTCTTGATGTTCTAAATAAAACTTTTCTGCAAGACTAATTGATATTTGATCTGGTTACTTTTGGGTGTTTATTTTAACAACTTGATGCGACCTTACTTAGCAATAGTAGCTGGAAAGTAACTTTACAAGTATAAAACATAATAAAAACATTGTATCAAACATTTTTGTAAATGGTTTTCTAATTTTTGAAACTCTGAGGGCATGTTTATATTATTCCACAACTGAAATATCATCAACTATGCAATACTTTATTAAAATTGATATCACTTAATAACAATGTTTTGTTCTGTTGCTTTGCTAACTTTAATTACACTTTGTGAAGGTTTGAAAAAGCCATCTCTAACTTTAAAAAACACTAGACATTTGGTGATAACTAGTTATTTGCAGTTTTACATAAAAGTATTTAGTGTTTTAGACTAAATAACAGCATCATATGCATGTTGATTGTTTATATGTAAATATGGTATAAATGAAAACAGACATGGTTTCTTTAAAGTTTTTTTAAAACTATTGACTGTAAAGTAAAATAATAATGATTCAGCTAACATCTATCAGTTTTATACTGACAAATATTATTTGTATAATTAATAAGTATTAAAAATATTTCTTGTGAAAACAAATAAGCAACATAAAAGACCAAAATGAAAGGTGAACAATTTTTATCATAATACCTTTTTATTCAATGTTTATTTTGTTATTCAATGCTTAAACAAGTTATTCAATGATTATTTTATTCAAGATGATAGAGCTAACTATTATTTTATTTATATTTTTTTACTTTAACATATTCTTTTGTAATTGCAATATCTTATACAAATGTTCTGGTGTTGTGAAAATGTCTAATGGCATTTACAAAAATGTCTTGAAAGTATTTTTCGACAGTTAAGTGTTCAGTTAATTTATATATATATATATATATATATATATATATATATATATTTATATATATATATATATATATATATATATATATATATATATATTTTATATATATATATATATATATATATATATATATATATATATATATATATATACACGCAAGAACAAAATTATTAAAAGTAAATATAAAGATTTGCTATATGTTGTCTAAGGAACCTTTAGGTTGTGTTACAATCACATTGCCTAACTAATGATTCATACAGCAAACTTGTAAGCTGTTTACCTTGCAAATATGTTACAAGCCTCAGGCATTTTGCAGAGGGCAATTAAGAATCAAAAGGTGCATACTAATATACACTTGCATGCTATTATAATAATATTATACCAGGGTGGCCAGCCAACTGGAAACCATGGAAAAGTAAGGGAATTTTTTTCTAGTCAGGGAAAAATGTCTTTTTTGAAAATTTAATTTTTTTAAAGGGTTTTTTTACTTACTCCCAAACAATAAAACTTAAAAATTCACACTTTAAAATATAACTGAGTCAGGGGAAAATATAAAAAGTCAGGGAATTTAATTGTTGAAAGTGGCTGGCCACCCTGTATACATAATTTATATATATATATATATATATATATATATATATATATATATATATATATATATATATATATATATATATATATATATATATATATATATATATATATATATATATATATATATATATATATATATATATATATATATATATATATATATATATATTTATGTCAATCTCCTTGAAATAATTTGAACATATAACATCAGATTTACTCGGTTTTTAATAATCAATGCATTTATAAGGTTTTTGCATTTTTTATTTATCAAGCGAAATCTGTGTTTTAAGCGCATATAAGTTTAACGCAACTACGCATTTATAAACTCTGGGACTTTCCGATACGGCGTCTTTTGGCTTCAAAAATTTCGAAATTTTATTAGGAGATGCGCTATCCAGTTATTATATAGATCAGTGCTTACGACTATTCGCCAGAGCTCTGGCATTTCGTCGCTGCGACTTCTTGCGATGATTTACCGTACATAAAAAGTTACATGAATCGCTGGCCAGACTCGCGCCAGTAATGGCCCGTTACTAATATAGTCGCAACGGCGTTGCGAAATATAGTCAAATCAAATCAAATATATATTCTGAATAAAGTTGTTACGTCAAGGATATTTACAAATAGTAATTTGTACTAATATAAAGTAAACACCTGTCAAACTAAATAAAAATAAGATTGAGATAGTAATAATAATAATTAGAATACAAGTAGGAATAATAAAAGTAATAGTAGTGATTATAGTTATAAAAAAAAAAAATAGTAGCGATTATAAAAAGAATATACTATAATAATAATAATAATAATAATAATAATAACAATAATAATAGCAATAATAACAACAAAAATAATAACAACAACAGTAATAACAATTACAATAATATTCATTATGATAAAAATATAGTAATAATAACAACAACAGTGATAAGAGAATACTATAGAAACATATTAGTTTATAATAATAAATTTAATAATTGATATTAAAATTAGTAATATATCACGATAGAAAAAAGAAAAAATAAAAGATTAATAGAAGCACCGCGTTAGGGTTATAAATAATAAGTTGTAAAAAGGTATAAGATTTATAAAGAGTATTTTTCTAAAAAATGGTTAAAGAGAGCAGTTTTAAATTTTGAGAATGATTTAAGAGATTTTAATTGGGAAGGGAGATTGTTTCAGGTTTGTATGCTTTTATGTTGTATGGATTCGTAGCCGTAATGAACAGTTCGAGTGCTGGCCCGGAGTCGTGTGCTGTCTGGGTGACTTCCATTTTGCCAGTTACTTTTTAAATCTTCAGGAAATGAAAGATGTAGAATATCGTCAACAACTAACTTCCTTCTTCGACTTATTTCATTGATACGGTTATCAGTGGTAGGTAACAATGGTAGGTTTAAAGCTTCTGCCGTAATAACTTTTTCTATCAAAAATGCTTTTCGTGCACTTTCTGAACCAAGCGGGACACCTCTTAATAATAAATACGTTTTTAACTCATCTACTTTCCACTTTGAAAAATCTATTGAAGTAAAAACCATATTCAAAATAATAAATAATCTAGGCTAATGCAATAATCGCTGGATTTTTGCATAGAAATATATATTTAATAAGTTTTTTCTTCCCAGGCGATCCCAAAATGCAATGCGATTTAAAGTAACATTGTTATCTGGCAAAAGGTCAATTCTCAATGCCTATTAGGTATACGTTTTTTGTTATGCACGCAATGTTTCAAATGCGTGGAGTTTATTTTATCTTTGAAAATATCTAAATAACTTAAACGATTGCGTTAACGCAATTAATATAACAATAAGTGATGTAACTTAATTTAAGTTTTTTAAACAACCCAGCCGGATGGGCTGTTTAAAAATTTTTAGTTACATCACTTTATCAAGTTTAAAACAATGCAGTAGCGGTATAAAGTCATGACCACAGTTGAAAAACAAGAGAATTTTATTCATTTTTGGCACAGTATAAAATAAAACAGCACTACATTGAAATAAAAATAACTCTGCATTGTCAGTAATAAGTGCCACTAATAAAACATAAAAAATTCTGACTAAAATACTAGTATTTTGTATGCCTTCTATGCGCATTGAGCACGGCCTGTACACGTCTTGGCATAGGCTGTACCAGCATTTGGATGCTGTCAACAGGGATTGCTAGCCATGCAGCTTACAAATGTTGCCAAAAATCATCCAGATTGCTGGGTTTAGTTTTCTGTACCTTTCTGAAGAGCTCTTCCCACAAAATTTCAATGGGGTTCAGGTCAGGACTTTGTGGAGGACATTCAATAGGATTGGTACGACACGTTTGAGATATTCCATTACTTTCTTAGCTTTGTGGAAAGGAGAATTGCCCTGTTTTCCTGAAAGAAAAATGGTTTGTTTTTACCAAATATTTTGTTTGCTGATGGTTTCATTTATGTTTTTAATATTTCCAAATATTTATCCTGGTTTACCGTGTCCGTACAACGATATAAATGACCTACACTTGATCCTGACATGCAACCCTATACAATGAGTGAGCCTCCTCCATGCTTTACTATGGGAGCTTTTACTTTACTTTATGGTTTTTCTCCATGTAGTTTGCAAGATCTGAAGTGATTGGACAAACTCGCCCGAACCAAAAGCCGATCCTGCTTTGCGGTAGTTTTACGAGGTCGTCCAACACGCTCTAAGTCTGTCACTGTACCGGTGTCTTTCTCTTTTCTGGCTGTTCTGATAACAGTTGACAGTCCAATTTTTGATTGCTCAGTAATATCTCTTAAGAAATGCCTTGTTTAATCATAACAATGAGCTCCAGTCGTTGCTCCGTTGATAGCTCTTGATACATGACATACACAATGTTCTGCAAAATTATAATACAAAAATAATAAAATGTTTGTTTAATAAAAGAAAACATGATTTCAATCATTATTTAACAACAACAAATGTTTAGAAACAATAAAACTTAAATTGTTCCAAAAAATAGTTAATTATAGCTAATTAAGATTAATTTATCCTAATTAGCACTGCTAATTATAATTATAATTAAATCTAATTAATTTATTCTTAATATTAGCTCCACGTTTCGGTACGATATGAAGTTGAGTGATAATACCTTAATTTCAAGTAAATATATACTAAAACAATGCTAGAAAAATCTTAAACTTACCAAGCTGATATCAACAATTTCTGATCAAATCAACACAGAACAGTAATTATAATAACAAAAATAATGATATTTGGTTGCTAATAACGCGCCATATCGGTAACTAGATATTTAGTAAGATTTCCAAATAAAAAATCGCTACAAAAATTAGTTATTATTGCTTAAGTACACTATTAGAGAGTTCAAAATATGTGTGTGGTCATGACTTTGACCTGCAGTATGGAGTAGGCGTAAATCGCGGTGTAAAGCATAAAAAGCGACGATGTTTATCTGACAGGATAAACTAGGTATCGGTGCTGAGCCTCTTCGAAATGCCGGTAAAAATTAACGCGATTCGGAGGAGAAATTTATTACCACCACAACATAATTTATGATTACTCAAAAGCAATAATGTTTTTTCATTATCTTATACCTCCTATTAAACTATATTTATTCATTTTAAATACTGATATATCTATACATACGCATTTTTATTTTAAGTATGTTAAACATTTGTATTTACTGTTGATTTATCGTTACTTATGTGTCCTGTTTTGTTTTTATTAAATTTCTTTCACATGCGTGGTGTCTAAATTATTATTATTATTTTTTACTACACGCTTTACTAAAGTATCTTTGTTTTTGTTCTGAACATCTGTTCAATAAATATTTTAATTATTTTATCTTTTCTCTTGTCCTAAATTTTTCCTTATTTCACTTGGGCTTGACAGCTCGGTCTAGTCCTTGCATATTTTTGCATTTTTTAAGTTTATGAATTTAATATGTTTCAACTATAGACATATTTAATATGTTTTATTTGTGCAAATTTAATAAGATTTAGTTTAACGCATAATACTTTTATCAATTAAAAAATGATTGATCAAAAGAAATTTAAACCTAATTGCTATTAGTTTTCTAATAAGAACTAGTTGTTGCGATTGTTTTTTTTTTAAATATAAATTTCAATATTTACTTTTTTTTGTTTTGAAAATTTAAATAACAACAGATTATTTGTTTACGGATCAATTATTTGTTCTACAAGTTTCAAATAGTCTACAAATAGTCTACAAGCAAAAAAAGTAATTTTCTTTTTTTGTTTACATTTTCACAGTAATTAAAATTATGCTTTGCTTTATTTATACACCTTTCTAAATGGTAGCATTTTTTTGTATAAGTGGCTTTCTTGAATTATTATATTAGTTATTCCACCCAAAATGTATAATAGTGCATGAACGGTTACGATTACGGTTGAGTTACCATATAGTTTATTTGGTAAAAATTTTTCACAACGTTTATTACATGAGCAAGCAAAAAAATTTCAAAATGCTAAATTTTAAATGCTAGGTTTTATGACGATTAAATGAAAATTTTGCGTTTCCTGTAAAACAAAAGCATCTTACAGCTACTTAAGCAAAATCAAGGCTGCATTTGATTAGTTTGTTAAAGACGCCTAAAACTAACTATAATAGACCAATTGGAGACAGAGATATTAAAAAATACAAAAGATGTGTGCTGAATGTCTAAACCTTTATATAAGAGAATAAGAAAAATATATCAAAAAATTTTAAAACTCAAGTTTTAAACTCAACACAAGACGATCCAATTCCAGCATGGTTAAGTTGGCAACTATAAAACACGTTTCTTTCAAATTGTTGAGTTAAACTTTATATAGTTACCTCTATTGATGTTGTCATTAGCTACATCAATAAAGGTAACTTAACTTTGGGTATTTATATAGTTACCTCTATTGGTGTTGTCATCGGCAATAGTGGTAAAAAAAAAGTGGAAAAAAAAAAGAGCGGAAAAAAAAAGTGATGTAATTATTATAGACTAAGATTGGAAACTAATCATTTTATTGTTTGTTGCATCTGGTGTGGTAAATTAGGCCGAAGTAACCACTCTTGAACAAAAAATGTTTTCTAATCACTTAGTTAAAGTTAAAGACGAAATAGGTGATGGTTTTTCAAATTTGTTTTGAAATTATTGATATGAGCAATCTGAATAATGCCTTATCATCGCCCCGCAAGTGACTTTACACACGAGATTACCAAAGAAAGTGTTAGGAAACAAATCTCAGAAACTAAAAAAGATGACTGGTCAAAAACACAGCAAAGAACGGCATTATACCACATTCAGGGAAAACAATATTACAAAATCAAGTTTGTTGGCAAATAGTAGTAATCATAATAATCATAATGACGTTAATTTATTACTGAAAAAAGACTTGGCAGTTATAATTGCGAGTTAATTGATATTTTTTTGATAAACATTTAGAATTTAGAGCTTTTATCAACGGTTCTTAGTGTGAAAGACGATGTACGTAGGATATTAATCATATTACATGCTTTTGTTTATTGATTTTTTAAAAATTTTTTGTGTTGTTACGCCGATTGTTCGCGTTGTTGAGTTTAGCTAATATAGGCCTAAAGTCTCTTACCAGTTTTTCCATAAATGAAACTGTAGAACCATTGAAGACAGAACCAATTTAGATTTTAGACAGAACCAATTTAGATTTTAGACAGAACCAATTTAGAATTAAATAGCATGTTTAAAAGAAGAGCAGGTTACAAATTCAAAATCAACAATAAACAAACACCTAGTTTTTTAATTAGAAATTATCTAAATTGAAAAAACAAAATTAAAAAAAAACCAACTTTATTTTGTTCTTACAAAACAGAAGTATTTATTGACTTATTAGGTATTTTTGTTACTCAATTTTAGTACGAATGCGTGGAGTTTTTTTTTTAAATTAATATTTTAGGGCTAGTATCACTTCACCTATATACCTAAAAAACTAAAAACAAGCAATTGCATTTACATATTCTAATAATAAGTGATGTAACTTCATATATTAATTCTTTTAAAAAGTTGTAAAAAAATATATTATGTTACATCACCTACCCGATTTAATAATAGAACATCACTTAGCCCACTTAATTATTAAACAATAAAGGGTTTTGAAATAAGCATCTTTTAATGGGCCACGGCGACAGCAAGGACAAGTTTAAAAATGAAATTAAAAAAAGTGCAAATTTTTGTCTTTTTTTACTTTAAGTCTTATGCACGTATTATACACGTTCTAAAAGTTAAATTTGCTGTCTTAAAGAAATACAAAATTTTACTGATGAATTATGACTTTTTTATAGTAACTATTCGTCATCTTTATTCTCAGAAAATTTTTGGCAGATCTTTAATATAATATTGTGAAGTTTATTAAGGAATCAATTAATTTTAAAAGTTTTGAATTTTAAATCCAACTTTCAAAAGTTATCAAAAGTAAAAAAAATTTATTATCTGACTAAATAACATACTCATATTTTTTCAAGCTTTATTTTCAATTACATTTTTTATTTTAACTATATATATATATATATATATATATATATATATATATATATATATATATATATATATATATATATATATATATATATATATATATATATATATATATATATATATATATATATATATATATATATATATATATATATATATATATATTATGAACGAATGAAAAACGCGTGCAAACATCCGATATGCAATGCGATAGTTTGCTATATAATCCGATTTGTTATATATGTAAATAAATTATAAATATATCAGTAATGCCGCGAGATTCAGTTTTACAGATCTAATTTTTAATAAGTTTTATTCAACTAATTTATAATTAACTAACCTTTTTAAATTCTAAATTAAAGTAATTAGAGGTTAAATAAGACAATAATGAGTTTATCAAAACATGTACAAGACATAGAGGTAAGTTTATATTTTTATAATGGCAAGTTCTTACAAAATCTGTGAATTAAAGAAGCTGATATACTAGTTATGTGACATGAAATTTTTCATTGAAAAATGGAAAAGTTGGTCAAATATAAAATTTTTATACATATTTTAATAAATGCAGTATTGCAGAGGTTAATATTTCATCAAAATTAAGGTATTCTACCTAAAGTTATGCAATTTAAATACCAAATCTTTATGACAGATGAATCTTCTGCCATAGAAATTTGGTACTTATATTGCATAACTTTTAGTACAATATTAACATAATATCACAGTTTAGATAAAATTAAGTAACTTTTAATAATTGATAAAATTGTGTGGATTTGAAAAAACTCACTTTTTGACTAGTTTCCTTTTACCAGTTTTAAACCAATAGAATTTTTTTTTTTTTTAAATCAAGATTTTTAAAAGTGTGTTAAAAATAAGGGCACATCAAGGACGATAGAGGTGTCTGCAACATTCTTTGATATACTCATGCAGATTTCATTAATGAAATGTGTGTGTATTTTTTTAAAGAAATTTTTGATATTTTTATTAGTTTCTAAACATCAAAAGAGGTAACTATATAAAGTTTAACTCAAAAATTTAAGAGAAACTTTTTTAATAGTTGCCAACTTAATTATGCTGGAATTGGATCGTCTTGTGTTGAATTTAAAACTTGAGTTTTAAAATTTTTTGATATATTTTTCTTATTCTCTTATATAAAGGTTGAGACATTCAGCACACATCTTTTGTATTTTTTAATATCTTTGTCTCCAACCAGGTTTTATTCAACCAGACTAGCAAAAAAAAATATATATATATATATATATATAATTTTTAATTAAAGTTGGAATTATATGCGACTGTTAAAATAGTTATATAAGTTAAAGGTTATTTATATTTTTTAAAGCCAAATAAAATTTAATGTTGAAGATGTTCAACATTAAGTTTTTTATCAATGAAAAAGTGTCACTATTGCAGCCCTAGGTTACAGTCAACAACGCTGTAGCCTAGGGCTGCACAATTTGTGGGATCTGAAAATGTTTGCTTGAATTTTTAAGGAGTTATTTAAAAATTGATTTAGTCCAAAAATTGATTTAGTCTAAGCCGAGAGTGTAAATAGAGGCTGAGAGTGTAAATTCGACTTTAGTATGCATCATTAAGATCAATGCCAGCTACTTTAAGAAAATGGTTTTAGAAAACATGCATCTCTGGTTTAATTTTATTATTTGTGGAGATAAAAACAATTGCATTGTCGCCAGACAGCAGACAAAAACAGCATGTATGCTAGATCTGGAAACAAACTAAAAATTAAATGCTGTGTATTTTCTTGCAATCATATACATGATTGTCAAATCTATCAGTTGAACTGCCAGTTCTGCAACTGGAAGTATATCCATTTGTGTGGTTTCTTGAATTGTTTGTTTTTTCAATATAAGTAGATAGTCCATTACATGATAAACACTTTAGATAATAAATGATATTTTTGCTATAACATGTAATGTGACCTTTGTTCCAAATAGGATGCCTCAAAATTATCTACTTCTTGTAAATATAACCGGCAGATTTTAAATTGAGTATTTTTGCATTTGATTAGTCCTTTTCTTTTGGTAGATGATGTAGAGTGAAGACTGTCGATTTTAAATTTAGTTAGTAAGTTATTTGACTTAATAAGGGATGTTAGAAATTTGTTATTCAAAGACTCTAAGACCTTACTAATAACAAATAGATCACAATTGGGTGGTAGTTTGAGGGGTCAGGATGCTCACCAGAGTTTTTAAAAATTAGAATCACAGATGCCATTTTCCAGCAGGCAGGAAAACAAGATTCAGTCAAGCGCTTATTAAATAGTTTAGGGAGAGTTAAAGAGAGTTCTGAATAACACTTTTGTGCTACAGAAGGATTGTTGTCTAGACCACAAGCCATAGAAGAGTTTAATTGAGATATGGTATTAGCAACAGAAGCTAGACTGATTTAAATGTCTAACTATTGCTTAACCTGTTAAACTGGAATGGAAGGAAGAGTATAGCCATAAGGTTCAATAGTCAAATTAGAAGTTAAGGTATTCTACCTATTTGTAAAGAAATTAAAATTTTCTTTACAAATAGTTCTGCTTTATCCTTGGGAGAGATAACAAGATCAGTTCCATGAATGAGAGATGGATTGTTAGACCTTTGTTAAAGACTTTGTTGAAGATTTTACAAAAGTCTCTAGAGCCTAACTTCTGAGATGTGAGATTTAGTGAAGTGGGAATAATGGAGCTTAGCATCAGACAGCACCTTTTTGGATTGATTTCTTGCAATACTAAATTGGCTTTGTTCTCAAGAGAGTTGTTCTTTTTAAAAAATGATTACAATTAAATAGCAGCTGCAAAAGAAGGTGAAAACCATGGAGTAAAATGCGGCTTGACTTGAAACCAACAAAAAGAAAAAAAAAAGCTTTCATTTCTGCCTATATCCTGAAGGTTATGTAGAAAGGGTATTTATCAGCGGAGAGCAAAAAGACATTAGCCCAAGGACAGTCACAAAAAATATCACTGTAGGAGTCTCAGTCAGCTTTAGGGTAGTAGTAATTAGTGCAACTGAGCACAAGTTAAGGTCAGAGGCAAGACACAAATCAAAGAGTGAAGGTAAGTAATTTAGGTTGTCTTGTAAACAAGTCACAAAGTTAACTATTCGAGTATTAGATTGAGTATATATTAAGTTACGGGCCTTGGTGTCAGCTGGGTCAGTGGTGTTAAAGCCAAGCCATTCAGTGTGATGAACATTGAAGTCTCCATTAACAGCAAAATAGGCAGATATGTAAAGTGAAAGGGCATGGTCAATTTGATCAGAAATTACATCTAAAAGAGTGCAGTCATGGGAAAAAAGATAACAATAAAGAACAAAGCATCATAATATGCACCAAATTGATGCATATATGTATACTCCTAAGCCAAGCATGTGACTATTGGAGTCTTAGAAGATCTCAGGATAGTACCCATCAACACTGAGATCTGAAGAAGGAACGGTGGAATTAGTCTCTCAAAGAGCTAGCAAGTTTATTAAAACAATTAGGTGGTAGGCAGTTTCAGGCTCTGGTTTCATTAAAACTTTTAGCTATAACTCCTGCTCCAGCTTCAGAGCAGCTCGGGAGCAGATCCAGAAGAAACAAATCAAAGTTATAAAATATTTAAAAAATATCAAGTTTTGGTTGTTATATCAAGAATGTTTGATATAAACTCAAGTGCAGAAAATAACCTCTCTACACTTGCTTGTGAGAAAGCCAATTGGCTACTCTGCACACCTCTGTACCTTTTTTAGGTATTCCTCAAAATTCCCTCAAAAGTTAATTTCCCTTTTGAATATTCTTTTTATTACCAGTTGTGACAGTTGTCCATGAAATTTGTATTAAAAGTGTTTTTATTTTTTTTATTTTTTATATTATATAATATTAATTTTGGTCACACTTCTCTTCTCTTTTTTTTTTATCAAGCTCTTTTTTAAACTTGTCCAATTCTTCATCAAAATTAGATTTATTTAAAACTGAATGAAGTGTTGTGATGATTCAGCTGTTTTTCTTATTTCTTAACTTACTGTTATATTTTTGGCATCTCTTTTATGAGTTATCTGCTATTGCTTTTAAGGCTTGCTTTGCTCATATATCTAATTCTCTTCAAATAACGTTCTATAACTAGCATAAACATGAACTGTGACTAGAAATATATTATGATATATTATGAAAGACTTTTACATGCACTACCTAACCTTTGCCAAAAATTGGGTAGTGTATGTTCTTTTAAAGCATTACAATTAGCTAGCTGCAAAGTGTAAACAACGCAACACATCACCTCAATCTTAGTATTTTTACACCTTTTTTGGAGAGGAGGTTGTGAAAATATATTAAATTTTTACAGCTTCGAAGCCCTAGTGGTAGAGATGTTTTTTTATGTTTTATATTTTGACTTTTGGTTATTTAAGTTTAAAGAGAACTTGACTCAGATAGAGCATGGCTTCCTAAGCAATGAGCTGTGCAGTTGTCAAAGTCCTGGTAATTAATCCAAAGTCATAACTTAGGGCTCCTTATGTAGCCTTGACAATATGTACCTAAAACATTATCAGGGACACCATCCATGTACATTGTTAATACTCTGATATTTTCAGCTGTTGATGGAATCAGCCTCTCTGAAAGCTACCACAGAGTTCAGGAAACAATACTACCAGCTGGTCTCAGAACCATTAAATTAAGTTTTAGAGCTGTACCCTCATTAGGAGATAAAAAGAGGAGTTGCAAAGCCACTACCAAAGAGACACAAGCGAAAATCAATGAGTCAAGAAGATCCAGCATTCATCATCCTAGACAGAAACTAATGTAACACAGCTATCAGGAATGTGCCGAGTTAATGCTGATACTTCTGGGAGAAGAGCCATCTCATGATGTACACTAGTTTCAACCTAGAGCATTTTTAAATATGAATAAATAAACAAAAAAGTAAAAAGGTTGCACCAACAAACTTTATTTTCAGCACACTTTAAAAAAAAAAAAATTTTAACATAAAAAGTTTTTAGTTTTAGCTATTGCTATGGTTTTGCAACTTTGTTAAAAAGTTTTTTATCTTATAAAAATAATTTTTTTCCTACACCAAGTTAACTTCCAATAAAGTTAACAATTATCACGAAGCAAGCTTTTACAATTAATTTAATGAAAGAATTAGGTGGACAAAGGTGTTAAATGATATTTTATTTTAACTACAATGTTAAAATAAAATATCATTTTATTTAATTCTTATGTAAGCCATACTATTCTTACAAATATAAATTATTTTTTAGCTATGAAAACCTTATTTATAAGATTTTGATATATATTTAAAATTAAATAAGTTGTCAATTCTTTATCTTTTAATTATTTTTGTTATATTTAGAATCTTTTGCAGTTGAATCCCAAAATCAATCCATATGCTAACTATGTATCAACAGTGAAAACTAAAAAGAATCGAAAATATTGGAAAAGAAATGATGACCACAACTGCTCAGTAATGTTTTGCTTCTTGTTTTGTAAAACATTAATTGTACTTTTTAGTTTTTTATAATTTTTTGATTCAATGACTTTTTTTAGAAATTGATGGTTGTACCCCTCTGCTTTGAAACATATATTGGCTCTGATGTAATGTATTACTAATAAGTAAAAAGTAATACTTATATGAGTTTGCTATTCAGTAATTTAATAATGTCTGACTTTGTTAAAAAAATTTATAATTAAAAAAAAAGTTAAATATTTCATTTTTTTAAATAAGTTCATTTCTGAAAAATCAAGGAATTTTTCCAGAAACTCTAGTAACATCTTTGACAGCCATTCTGGCCTTTGGCTAATGAGGAAAGTCTAAAAGAGTTTTTAATGTTAACTTAATATTCCATATTTTAATCATATGGAACATTTCCTAAGATTGAAAAAGAGGAGGGAGAGAAAAAAAAACAATAATAAAAAGTATAATTTTACCAGAATAATAATATATTTTTATCAATAATAATTCATTTTTTACCAGGAAAAGCTATAAACGAAAGATATATAGTATAATTAGAAATTATAAAAAATACAGAAAAATAATATAATTATCTTCTTTTTTAAATTTATATATTTTGAAAATTGAACCCCTCATTTCGAAAATGGCACAAGTTACACTTTTTTCGAATTTCACTTTTTAATGCAATTTTATTTATTCAAGTGTTTTACATATTCCCTTTGAAGGAGAAACATTTTCATATGCCACAAGTCAACTTAAAATGCAAATGAAAATTAAAGTCTGTTTGAAAATGGCACAAGTCCTGGACTTATGCCTTTTTCAAGTGAAATGAAGCGCAACTGTAGTGACGTAATCTCACTTTATTTGTTACAAAAATGGAAAATCGCGAGCTTGCTGAAAGTGTATATAAATCTAGAAAAAGAGTGTTTGGTATAAGAAACAGTGGAAATTATAAATACAAAAAAATAAAAAAAGCCAAAATTGCTGGAGAAGCTTATAAAAACCATAAAAGAAATGATGTGGCACCAAGGCAAACAGGTGCTTCTTGCAGGTTAGTTTTTTGTTCTATAATATAGAATGACTATATTCGTTCTCAAATTTTTGCTTATTTACTCATGTTTTACCACCAATATTTGGAGGTAAAACATCTTGATATATAATTATTATAATATTAACTCAATAATTCTATTTATTTACAGATGTAATTCAAAGTGTATGGAGCTTGTATCTGAAGATGTTATAGAAAGTACAATTCAGTTTGTTAACAGATTTGATAGTAAAAATGCCCAAGACACATACTTGCAGTCATTAATTGAAAAGAAGGAAATAAAGAGAAGACGGTTTAGATCTGAATAACCTAAGGATAAAGAATTTTCTTTTATTTATCACATTAAGGTTGAAGTTGTAATAAAAAAAGTATGCAAGAAAGCTTTTTGCAGTATTCATGGAATTTCTATGAAACAGGTTAGACGTTTCATAGAAATTAAAAAAATACTCAAAAGAGTATGAAAATCTTATAGCTGAAGCAAGCAAAAAATTTGAAATTAGAAGGCTCAAAACTAAAGATATCATTGATGTAAAAAAATGGTGGCCAAACCATTATAAGAAACTTGTGCTATCTGTGGATTCCTATGGAAAAGGAGTACCCAAGGACAAAAAAGTTACTTTTGGTATTTCTAAAGTGTCACATTTCACATTCTCTAAGACCACACCAAGTTTAGTGACAATACATGAATCCATAGATTGTTTAGTCAGTTATGATTTTCAGCTATTACAAAGGATGGGTTCAAGGCCAACCTTACCAATAAGTAGTACTCCTGCATATGTTGAAAAATTGCCTATCAATGAAAAAAAGATATCAGATTTGAAAAAAATAGAAAAATATATTCCATATTCAACAGAAGAGTACCAAAACTTCTATACAAAGGTTTTTGCTTGGCCGACAATTTCGGCAAACAATGAATTAAGTGATGATTAACTAACAATAATTGTTTTTATGTAATAATAAATCATTATTATTCTGATAATCTTTGAATTTTTATATACAAAAAAGTGTTCATTTCGAAAAAGACATAAGTCCATAAATTTAAATTAAAAATGTCTTATATGTTGTTTTTTTATAATAAATAAAACTCTAAAAACTTATGTATGACTTTTATTTATCTACTCTTATATTCAGTTTCTTTAGCACCATAAACTTTATTTCTTATAAATTTATTTTTGTTGATCCTGAAAAGTTTGAATAAATGGACTTGTACCCTTTTCGAAATGACGGGTTCAATTAGTAACTAATTCCCTAATAGACTTTTAATCTATTATTGGTAATAACTTAAACATTAATGTGAATTATTTTAATCTATTTCACCAAATAGTTCTTTAATTGAACCATCTATCATTTTAAGTATTTTTTTAAGTATGATCTCAATGCAATTTAATGCAATACAGAAAATTTGTCATTCATAGCAATAGTTTACCTATTGTAAGTTCAGTATTTTGAATGATTTTGTTTCTAATATTTATATTTATGTTTGTAGTATCTGCAAATAAAGTATGTAGATGTTCTATAGAGTTTCTATTTGTTCAAATTGATTTTATATCTTTGTTACATTGAGAAGTAACATGATCAATATATCAAGAATAAAATTATGATCTTCTTTTTCAAAGTTCATTAATTTTGTATCATCAACCATTTTGTATTTTGGTACTTCTCTACTTTTGTTTCATCAAATTTTCTATCAAATGCAATACTAGTGGTATCTGTTTTTCTTGTGAATATGTTAAATTTTTTTTTTAAATCCTATTAGTTTTTTTTGTTTTAAGATATTATCAGAAGATTCTTTTTTTATGTGCATTGACTAATTGACAAACATGCCTATTTAATGTACCAGTGCATTTTATTATTTGGATACTAATTTAATGTACGAGTGCATTTCATTATTTGGGTAATTTAATGTACCAGTGACACAAATTTAAATGTATATTTTGTAGCATTTTAGTATTTTCTTTAAATGATGATAAATTTTTGTAACTTTGTTTACAAAATGTTTGTAACTTTTTGGTTTGCTTACTCCTATTTGATCAATCCAAAAATCGTATTTTAATAATAGTACTTTGACATTGCATTGATATTGTTTTCTGTCTCTGTTTTTATTATTAAAGCATTTGCAAAAAGTCATATACCCAAACACTTACTTAAAAGACTGCTTATGCATGCAGAGCTGTAGAACAAATGCTCTAACATTTGTTTTTCATTCAGTTATTTTAAAAGTCATTAAAATATTTTTATTTTTCATTAAAGTATTTTAGAAGTCATGTTCAGCATTTACCAATTTAGGTTTTTTCATAAGAACAATATTTAGAGCAAAAGTTGGTATACCTTGAGCAAGTTTCCCAAACAGATATAAGACTTGATGCAAGTTTCCTAAACAGATATAAGACTTAAAGCAAGATTTTTATTGATTAAACAAACTTGTTAGCATTTTTTTGGTACTACAAGGGTGTTAAAATATATTTATATATATATAACTATTTTTTTTCTTGTTGATATTTTATCTAAAATTGAAATATGAACATATCTAATCATTGGAACGTGAAAAATCAACATACTTTACCAATATAAGTAAAAACTGTATTTATTTAAGTTAAATTAATGCGCAATAACAAAAATATTGTTTTAAAAAATTAGTGCATAAAAAAACTGTTTGCACTGCTTTAATATCAACAGTATAATTAATATTAGAGTATAATTATAATTAACAGTATTATTATTTATTTTTCATTAAATTTATTTTAGTCTTGTGCAGACCTTACAAAGAATTTTGAAGACATAAAGCATACAACACTAAGTGAAAGAGCGGCTTTAAAAGAAGCAGCAAGGTATTTTAAACTCTTATTTTTGTCTTTATAAAATATAAGTCTTGTTAGTTTCATTTGCTTATGTATTACCATTATGCATTACCAATCTTAAAGGAAATAGTTTTCCTGTTATGTTATTAAAGAATACCATTAAACTTGTCTAAATAATGTTGTTTAACTGTTTACTAATATTTAACCTTAAGCTCCTGGTAATTTTACCTTAAGCTCCTGGTAATGCTTTCAATAGAGATCTGAATAATCTAGGTGTTTAGTATTTAATATGTATGTGGTAGACATTTGGTAGAAATTTGTGGTTCTACATTTAAATCCACCCTATCCAAAATACTGCGCTCAATTTCTTTCTCTGCACTGTAATTCTTAACAAGTTTCATCTTTTAAAGTTAAGGGTTAAGAAAGAGTTTCTAATTAAAAAATATATATAATCCACCTTGGCTGTAGTGGTCTCCTCTTGAGCTTGGGTAGGTGAATTCAATTTAAAAAAAAAGTTTTGTAAATGCCTTGTCTGTTATTACAAATTAACAGAATCAAAATCTTTAGTTGCACAAAGTTAAAAATTTGTAAGAGGAAGGTGAATTGGGTAAATTAAGGAGATCATTTTCTCTGAATAAAGTTACTCTAAAATTTTGAAACATAGGTGCAGGTTAGATGCTGCAGAAGATACATCCATGATTCATGTTTATTTGAAATCTTCAGTTAGTAATAATGTAGCATGTTAAAAGGATTCCCGTGCTTTATATGGAGCTAGCCCTCCCAACCTAAAGAAGCTAAGAAGAGCAATCATGGAAGCTTATAGTGATCTTTGATTGATCAAAAATTCTGACAGAAATGCAGTTATTGTGCTTACAGGTTCAAAGTGAGACAAAATGTTAATAGGTCCTCTGTTTGTTTAACAATATTGAATTATCTCTTTAACAATTGCAAACTTCTTTGATGTAAGTTTTTATATCATCTTTTTAGCTATAAACATTTTATTTAATCTATTTTTTATTTTTTTATTGGCATTTTATTAATTTTTTAATGTTTTTTCTGAATAAAAAATTTTCATATAAAATATATTTTTTAGTAAAATATAAAATTCATTATTTGATATTCATTATTTAAATTTAAATGATTTATTTTATTAAATAAGTATCATTTCTTTTTCTATCTGGAAAAAAGCGTTGGAATAAAGTATGTCATTCAAAACATGAAGTCTGTGAGATAAAAATACATATTTACTAAATAAGATATTAGTATGCTGCAAACCTAAACTTATGCTGGCACATACTATTAGCATTAGAAGGCTGATGCAAAAATAGTCCTCAGATGATACAGTGAGCTCAAAAAAAAAAATAATAAATAAATAAAAAGATAGTTTAAATGATGCTATAAAAACAAAATTTTTCAATTATGTATGTTTTATTTTTAGATGCTTAAAGTGTGCTGATGCACCTTGCCAAAAAAGTTGTCCTACTCAGTTAGACATCAAGTCCTTCATAACTAGCATTTCTAATAAGGTTTTTTTTAAATATTTTAATTTGTAGTTTATACATGTGTTTAATGTTTGATTTTTATATAAAAAGCAATTTGCCTCATTTTTATTTGTTTGTAAGTACAAATATAATAATTTTCTTAGCAATCATATGCATTGACGATTGATGCTTGAGCGCGGGCAGGGCTGGATTTATCAACAAGCTGACTAACCCGCGTTCTAGGGCCCCACAACTATAGGGGCCCCAATATGTCAAAAAATTACAAATTTTTTTGAGCTTAACTAAAAATGGAAATAAAAATCTACTAATTATTTTTATATCATGCGTTACATAGTTGTCTTTTTCACACATTTTCCCAATATAAAATGTCATAAAAACAGAAAGTTTTAGTAATAAAAAAGGCCCTAAAACATAACTCGTCCTAGGGCTTCCAGAAGTGTAAATCCGGCCCTGAGCGCAGGGCATGACTAGTATGTTTTCTGAAGTTTGTTACTTGCGTGCTTTATTTTTACTTGAGGTTTATTTTTTCTGTATTTCATCTGTATTTCATTTTAAGTATATCTGTAAAAAAATCTGTATATCTGTAAAAGTATTTGTCTCTTAAAAATAATCAATTTAGATTTAAAATTAACTTTATATTTATCCTTTCTAAACCTGCAAAATGTACCCGTAAGCAACGTGTTAATGAAGGATAATTTTATTGCTCTTTTTTTGTTAAATATTTCTTATGTTGCTTTACAGAAGTAAATTAGTTTCATCATAATACATAGAATATGTGGAGGTAGTGTTAAAAAGGTTTTTAAATTATTGCATATAAAGAATATGACAGGAATTTATTGAATATTTATATATTTTTATATGAGTTATTGGATGTTATAGCATATTTTGATATTGTAGCAGATCTTGTTGTTATAGCAGACCTTGTTGTTAAAGCAGATATTGATGTTAAAGCAGATATTGTTGTTAAAGCAGATAGCAGATCTTGTTGTTAAAGCAAATGAATCAGCTCGTACTAAAAGGGGATTTGTCAACAACACATAGTTTTGAGGAAACTAAATAAAACTTTGCATTATCTTCATTTTTGACCAAAAAGATTCAATTTTTTGTATATGAACTCTTTATTACCCCAGTTATTATGGGACATACTTGAATAATGACATTTACAATGCTTTCATATGAAAAAAAATCATTAAAGTTGTTTGACATATCCCCTTTTAGCATAATTTGAATAAAAAGGCATATAAATGTGTTTAAAAACAATGTTATTTACTAAAAACACTAAGAAATCAATATTTGCATATACTCTAATTTACAAGAAACTTATTTTATAAATATATACTACATTCAAATAAATCTAATTAGTCTGAGATGAGCAATATAAGCAATGACAACTTAGTCATCGTTTTCAACTTCATAAGTTTGGGCAACCTGTTGCTCTAAAAGAAAAGCTGTGATTTATTATAGAATCGATGAAAGATTGTCCAATAACCTTAGAAGGAAATTTTATATCATATGTGCAGTGCATGAACTTGCTTATTGAAAAGTACTGCTTTTCATTCTTTTTAACTTGCTTACCTTTAGTTTCATCGGAAACACAACTTTTTTTTATAAAACTGCGGCCACCACGTCTTGAAGTCTAAAATTTCTGAAGATTGAACTTTTTGTACCATAAATTTATCATTTTTGGAGGATGCCTTAATAAGTTCACATACTTGGTCTACTGTGTACAGTCTATCATGTCGGTTTAGTTCTTGCTTTATTATGTAAAATCCCTATCACATGGTAGGAAGGAGTGCCCTCTTATTGGATAGAATTGCTCAACCTTTTCAAATTTCTTTAAATCAGTCATGGCTAAGAGTAGCCTAGATAATGAATGGTTTTTATTTTGGCCCCAACAATTATCTGAGAATAAGCGGTAATCATCAAGTAGTTAAATAGAAGGGAACACACTACATCTGGACCCTTGCCTGCTGTGCCTTGGTGGTAAACAAAAATCTGTGCTCTGTTACTTTTATTGTTATGAATACAAAAAACATTAACTGAAAGTTGTCTCAGATAAAAGGTTTCTTGTACTGGTATTTTTGGGATCTGTATGTTCTGCATAAAGTCAAAACACAATGATAAAATTTGCTTATTGTCCTTGTCATTGACGTCTTCTCGGATTCGATCATAAAACTTTTTTGATTTGCATTTATGTACATCAAGTTCAGATTGAGCACACCTTTTTGCTGCCTCGTTGAGACGAGGACTCCTTAATTTCATATTGAGTTCCTCGCAAGTGCAGCATATGTCAACTTGTGGCCTTCCAAAAGAAAGATTATAGTTTTCTTTAAAGTAGTTGAAATACTTTGTTCCTCCAACTTTTATTGAAAAGTATTTTTCTTTAAACAGCCTATACATAGTTTTAACATTTAATGTGGCATCTAGATAGCATATAGGCTTTCCAAGATAGTGGCTTTCTTTAGTTGGAAAGCTTTCAATATGCTGTCTGATAAAAAGTTTGATTTCTTCAGACAATACTTGTTTTATATGACGTCCTCTATTATCAACTGGGCTTTTCGCAATCATTTTCAAAGCTCGCAATCTTTTAACTCGTTTTTTAGTAACTGCATGTAAACTTAAAAAAGCTTTAAAACAAACCGGCATTCGATCAGAACCCACCATAACATGATACTTAAAGGTAGCACTCTTTTTTTAGAACTGTCTTCCTTTCTGGGTTGTCTCTGCTTTACTTTTTGGGAATCAATCAAGGATTGTAGGAACAAATCTTGCTCATCTTTAGTGTTGAAGGCATGGAAATTTGGTCCTCTTCATTAATTGTCTCAAAACAGTTGTTTCTCTTGCAGCTGAAAAAACAAAAGATTATTTTATACTGTGTAAAATTTTTTACCTACAAATAAAATTATAAAACTGTAAAACTACTCACTAATATTGAATACAAAATAACGTACCTGCAGTACAATAACATAAGCCAGTACACTTTTGAGGTACAGTATTTCCTTGGTAGTTAACATATTCTTCACCTTTTATTCTGGCAACCTTTACAATGTTTCTCTTCCAAAGACTTTGATCTGATTTCCTTTTCTTTGCTGAATTTTTCTCAAAAACCCCATCATTTTCATCTGAATTTATTTCTATATTCCAAACTTATTTATGATATAACATAAGACTAAGAAAACAAAACATAAAGTTAATTCCTATTTAGGGTAAGCTATATATAGTACAATAAACACAAGACTAAGAACACAAGACATAAAGTTAAACATAAACTTAATTCCAATTTAGGTTAATTTAGATTTGTAGCTACTGTTTAGAAGTACAATAACATAAGACTAAAAACAAAAGATATAAAGTTAAATATAAAGTTAATTCCTATTTAGGTTAAGCTATACAGTTCAGTAAAATAAATAAAAACAACAACAGTTATCTGTTGCAGTCAATTGCGTAGTTATGTCTACAGACGGCATAAGATGATTTTTTATGCTAAAAGGGGTAAGTCAGTGACTTAACTCCTTCTAGCATGAACAGCTCTACAACTGATTCCAGTTACTAGGGTAACCAAGCGTCTGGCATGTCTAATTTTATCATAAACAGTTAAAACCTACTATTGAAACATGATAACCATTATTAACTCAATTTTCAATTTTTGTGACTTATCCCCTTTTAGCATGACCCGATTCAAATATTGATGTTAAAGCAGATCTTGTTGTTAAAGCAGATCTTGTAGTTAAAGCAGATCTTGTTGTTGTAACAGATCTTGTTGTTAAAGCAGATGTTGTTGTTAATGTAGATCTTGTTGTTAAAGCAGATCTTGTTGTTAATCTTGAGTTAAATGAGTTCCAATAGTTTTTAATGTTTTTAGAATTGTTGAAGTTTGTTGTTGCTATGTTGCAAGATGTAGCGCCTTATAAAATATGAGTTATGGCATACAGTGCTCCTATTCTATTCCATATACTGAAGTAAATTTGGTTAAGTGTAAAAAATCTGCTTATATTTAGTAAGTGCAGCCATTATAATGTTAAAAACTATTGCTTACCAGGTTTTTGTTGATTAAACAACCTAAAATATATCACATATCTCATGAAACATTCAACCATAGAAAAATTTGCTGCAATTATATGCAATAAGCGCCCATGTTTTAATCAAACCTTAAAATGTTTTAAAATTTTGCTGTACCTTCTTAGATGATCAATCACCTCTTAGATTATTGTTTTTAGTCACAGTTGTGTAAAATCTGAGATCTTTTGCAAGCTGCTATATTACACTCAAAATAGCAAGTTTTGCAGCTATAGTAGGAATTTGTAGTGTTCAACCAAAAGCTTTTAAAAAATCAATTGTAGATAAAACAAAAAAAAAGCTTATATTTATTCTATATATTGTTATAAATAGTTATGTTTTAATATAATATTTTTATTTTAAGAAATTGAATAATTTATGGACAGTAAAAATGATCTTGAAAATTCAGTTTAGAATTTAGAGAAATTCAAAACTTTTGTTTGTATAACCAATTAGCATTGATTTTGAATGATTTTTATAAAAATATATAAACTGATTTATTTAGCATTTTTTCATTCTTTGTCTAATAACAAAATTTTCAAAACAATATTTTATGAAAACTTTTATATGAAAGTTAAAGTGATGCTTTATGTACTTTAGTCACAATAAAAATTTTAAAAAATTCATTTTAATTTTTTTTCTTAACGAAAATGAAAATTTAATCAATTTATCTCATTTTAGTTATCTTTTATTTTTTATTTTATTTTATTTTTTTTTTTCAACTACTTTTTTTTGTTTGTATATTTCTATCTACATTTCTATGTATACTGTATCTATCTTTTATCTATCTATTATATCTATATTGTAAATCTCTAACTCAAATAGTCAATTTTTCAACTTTTTTTCCGGACAATTCAAACCATTTTCCTTTTTTACTCGACTTATGTCTTGTTTCTGATCCTAGTCAGTGCTCAGTTTCTCCACATTCACCCTTAGGTGCTTTTGATCACAGTTTGATCTCTCTAAAA